ACTTTTCTGTTAGCTGCAGCCACGCCTCCCTCCCAGGCAGCCCACTCAACAAACGTCAGCTTGTCCGGCACTTGTCGTAGTCTTTTCTCTCTTTCTATTTCTCTCTCTCTCTCTCTCTCTCTCTCTCTTCTTGTCCAAGCATTTTTTATGAGTTGAGCAGCGCACGCAAAAACTGACCCCTTAGTGGCAGCCTCCTCCTCTACCCTCTCTTCCCCTCCCTCATATTCTCGTCTGGATATACAATTATAATTTGTTGACGCGTCCGCTAAGGCTTTCGAGGAAAAAGGGAAATAAATAAAAGTGCTTGCTCAGTGACAGAGTTTCAGGTCTGATGAGTTTTCCATCTTAAGCGCATTTTCCCCCAACAAGCTGCAAATGCAAGCTGCTCTGCAGCGAAACGGCGCTATTATGGCCATGGTCCAAACGATTAACATTTTTCCATTTTACATCAAATTATGCATGCAAACTATCCGATAAGGCGATAAAAGTGTTTAGATTGGTATTGAATCGAAAGCGACAGCGACAGCGAAAGGGAAAGGGAAAGATAAAGGAAAAACGAAAAGATAAGTTGCAATAAGCAGCGAAGTCATAGCAAAGCATCAAATGTAATTCAAGTTGAGGTTGCTTCAAGACTAAAACCATTCAATTTGTGACAAGCTGATGAAAAACTGGAACTAGCCCAGCTTGAGTCCAAAAGCCAAAGTAGAGCTTAAGTTTTATGAGCGTGAAACGTAAATAGAAGCGCAAATGGTCGTAAAGGAGAAATCAGTAATGTAAGAAAATCAATTTTCAAGAGAGAAGTTTTATGAGAAGCGCAGAGAGATGCGCTGGATATATAAAGTTCAAAATTTGTTATAATAGTAATGGACTGATAACGATGCAAAGGAATAACAATAAAAAGAGAGAAAAGGAGAAAGAAACTTTAAAATATAGAAGCGAAAAGAGATAAACAGCCACAGCAAGCGACGAAGGCATTTCAATTAAGAAAAAGAAAAAACAAGTAAGAAGGCTCCAGTCGAGACTGCTCGACTGGGAGATACCCTGAACCCTCGAAGCTGATATTCTAATCATTCTGCACTTCTTCTATGCACACATACATACACATGCACTTATAAGCACGCGCTCTGCTAACTGCGCAGTAAGCAGCGGCTGCGCTGCAATGTGGGCAATATTATGAGAATTTATTAGTTGAATAATTTCTGTTGTAGTAAGAGTATCTTTATGAAACTTTCAGAATGTGTTCATATAGTTAAAATGTGTGTACATTCCAAAGCACAAGTCTCTAGTACTTGAAATGCGTTTTTTACAAATTGGGGGCGAAGGGGGCGTGGTATCCAAAATCTGTAAATTGCAAAATCTTTGTGTCTATTAACTCTATATACAACGCAAATTTAAAGTCTCCTGGTTGAAAAGTGTTCAAATTAGGCTGAAAAAACAATGTCGATTTTTCGATTATTCTCGATAAAAAAGTTATCGGATGAGTTATCGAAAAAATAAAGCAAACTCGTACTGCCTATGATATACACGAGTATGCATGCCAAATTTCAGCTCTCTAGCTCTTATAACTTCTGAGATCCTTTTGCTCATACGGACGGACGGACGGACGGACGGAGGGACGGACGGACGGACGGACGGACAGACGGACAGGGCTATATCGACTCAGCTCGTCGTCCTGATCAAGAATATATATACTTTATGGGGTCTGCGATGATTCCTTCTGCCTGTTACATACTTTTCACAAAACCATTATACCCTGATTTCCCATTTTCAATGGGTTCAGGGTATAAAAAACCAAGCAAAACTAGCAGAGCAATCAAAACTCTATTGAAATGCGTAACGAGAAATACTGAAGATAAGCAAAATTTTCCAAGCTGGAGAAGTGAGAGTAAACGCGAAAAAATTCCAAACAAAAACACGAAAAAATGAAGCAAAATGAAGCAAATGTAAAAAAAAAAGCAAAACAAGAAAAGCAATACGAAATGCATTGACATGTATAATGAGAAGCGCAAAGAAAGTGCTTCATCAAAGAACGTTAGCCACGCTAAAATGAACAAAAAAAAAAAACGACAATGATTCATCAATTAATGTGGCAAGCAATGAAAAAGGAATGAGCAATTAATAAACAAAGAAAATACAAAGGAAAATCATGAGCAAGAGAATGAGAAGTAAACTGAAGCATGATCAATAAAGATGGCAACGGCAATACAGACATTATAATTATTATATTATTTTTTTATTATAAATAATATTCTTATATTTTTTTTTCATACTTTTCATTTTCTTTTTCTAATCTTTGTAACTTTTTTTTTATATTTAATATACATAGTTTTATTGCAGCTTTTGTCTTAAACTCTATAGCGCATTTATAAGGATACCTTAACTAATGAAGTGGCTAAATGCCTTTATTACTACGAATTACGTTTACTAATTTAGGTCACTTCTCGGGTCCAGGGGGTGTATTATTATTTATTTATTATTTTCATTACTTATTATTTATTTACCTTTCATTTACATAAATATTATTATTATTATTTATAATTAGGCTCCGAATGCACAAATGCAAAAACTTCAGCAATAAATTCTATTTATTACATTTCTACTATGCGTGTAATTGAGCTGTTAAAAATGATTCGGCAGATTAAATGAACAAATTTATTTTTTACCCAGATTACAAATTTCATTTCATTTTTTCAGCATTGCCACTGAAAAGGCGGAATTAGAGGCCAACAAAAATAAAACATTTGTTATTCAAATCGCCAGCTAACGATTATTTATTGTTCATTATTTTGTCTAAAAAAATAAAAGAAAAATAACCAATTGCGCATTTAATTAAAAATTAATTGAAACAAGTTTAATTCCGTGCGGCATTCAAACAAACAGAACAAACGACATCTAGTGAAATTGCAGTCGCCAAATTCAACAAATAGCACGTAGTAAACAACCCAACACCCAACCCCCAACCCCTAACCCCTAACCCCTAACAACCGACCCCTCTTGGTAGTAGAGCACTCCTCTCGTTCGCACTGCCCTACCTGTAATATTCGTAGGCTATGCAAATACTTTTCACTGCTGTGAGTGAGTGAGTGTGTGTGATTGTGAATGCACCGTAATTCAATCATCTCTCGGCCAGCCAACACACAAATAAACAACAATCCAGCACATCAATTCGAAATGTAATTCAATTAATTTTTTACATTTATTACAAATCATAGTAAAATAAATAAATTTTCAAATCTAATCGACGTAGAAGTCTAACATAACTTATAAAGAACATAGATTATTTTCTAAGAAACCAAGAGAAGCAAATAAAAACAATTGAAATTAATGAGAAGCGCAGAGAGGAGCGCTGCAGATAAATTGAATAGAATGAGTTAAATAATCGACTCACAGTTAAAGAGAAACGATATTTGGAATAAACATGACACGCATTGGGAAGCTTTATGAGAATCACAGAGAACAGCGCTAAGGATAAGCAGAATTTGAAAAGTTTTAATAAAACTTTAAAAATTATAGTTTTTAAATCAATTTAAGCTACCCCACTTCTGATTTGAATAATTTACAGGGCGAATGTGAATGGCGAATATCTGCTTTGCTTACAAAATGTTTTTTAATTGAATTTCAGATAAAAGATATAAAAAAATAATTCATATATAAATGGCGTAATAATTGCCCGTGGGCGTGTCGCTGACAGCGAACGAAAATAATTCGTACAAACACACACACATATGCATGTGTGTATGTGCATTTATGCATATGTATATGCATATAAATATATATGTATATATAGATCGGACAGTAAATGACATTGGAACAGTCAACTCGCTCACATTAACCGCAGATGCAGCTGAACAATGGAATCGTAGCCTGGTCTGGTCTGGTCTGGCCTGTCCTATCCTGCCCGGTCCTGGGCTGTCCTGTCCTGGCACGGCCTGGTCTAGCACTCGCTTCAATATTTATTGAAAGGCTGCGTGCGTCAGTAAATGACAATTTTATTGCGCAGCTCACTCATTAAAAAATTTATATACCAGACAATGGGGTAGCCTGCCGCGGAGGTTAATAATGGCAGCGGAAGGACCTTTTAATCATCAACACAATTTCTGGACTGTTTATAGTATTTTTTGCTTTTTCATTGTTTTGTTTTTATTGCTGCTGCTGCTGCTGCCTGGTGTTTAAATTGCTCGACGATTTATGGAGGACAACAGGAAATTGAAAACGCCATTAAATGCGGTTACACATGGACACTTTATAGGGGGCGGGACCTGTACTTTTATTAATGTGAGGCATTCCTTCGTAACTTAATAATCACTTCATATATGCGATATAAAACACTCAGCATGATATAGATTAAGGAATTCTAGCAGTGAAAGTTTTTATAGTAACTATATAGAAAGTCCGTGGACATAATACATTATATTGTATATACATATATATACGTATGTATATACAGTGGAATCCCGATAATTCGAAATGGCAAGGGGATTATTTTATCATGATTAAATTTTCGGTCGTAAAAAAAAAATAAAATAACTATATCTAACAAAAATAGAAACAAAACATTTAATTTAATTATGTAAAGCTATAATTATGGAAAGGATATTGTTTAAAATTAAATTTAATTTAATTAAATCGATGATTATAGAATTGAATAATATTGTATTTAATAAAATATAATGCTTAGATGATAAATTTTATAAATATGTATATGAATGTAAGCGAAAAGCTATATTCACTCTTTTATATACTTTTCTTTTTCAATAAAATTTTTATATTTATTTTGTTATTAATTTTATTTATTTTTAAAATTTCTTTATATTTAATTTACTTTTAATATTCATTTTTTATTTTTATATTTATCTATAAAATTTATTTATTTAAATACGTGTATATTTCATATAAATAATTAGATTTTGCCATCTCTAATGCAATTGCTGGTTCCATTAAGAACTCCACATGGTAATATAATTAAAAAGAAATGAATTTCAATTTGAGCATTCGCTTACCAGACAAAAGAGTTGAAGAGTTGCTCGCTTTGCCCGTGAAGTAGACCTCAAGTGGAACACAAGGACGTGGAACTACTTTCTTTTTCTTTATTTATTTATTTATTTTTTTTTTTTGCTTTCTCAATTTGCGTTAAGAGGTTGTGTTTGTATGCCGCGCGCCAAAAACTATGCAACACAAACTGTGAATGTCTTCTGGTTGCGCTGTTGGCCAACTGCCGCCGCCGATGTCAATGCCTGATGGCTGGTAATGTGATTAGTTGGCTCTGCCGCCGACGCGTATGTATGTGTGTGAGTAAATTTTAATTTAATTATGTCGTCGTCGTCGTCGTCGTCGTCGTGCACTCCTGTTGTCCGCCTCGCTCTTCAGTTACGAAAAAACAGCTCAAAGCAAACGAGCGCAAACTAAAGACACGCACTAATAAACAAAGGCAACAATAACAGAATAAAAAAAACAAAAGCCAGCAGCGCCCAGGCAGCGGGTTATACAGTGCAGGGGGGGCGGTAGCGGACAGCGGGCTATACCGTTGGCACAAGTTCAGTTAGCTCGACCGACAGTCCAAATAACCAAAAGCGGACGAGCGACCGAGTGTGGAATGTGTGCGTGTGCGTGTGCGTGTGCGTGTGAGTGCCAAACGAGATGCGAAATGCGAATGCGAATTGCGAATTGCGAATGCGAACGTTGCACAACGGAACCTCTGACTGTTTTAGTTGAACGCTGACGCTGACGCTGGCTGCTCTGTCGCTGTCCTTCTGGCGATGGCTGGCAATCGAATGCAACTGCTGCCGCTGCCTGCTACAAGCGACTGCTTGGCGTCTCTGTTGCATGCGCTGGGGCGAGCTGTGCGAGGAACGTTTCGGCAATGGAACACTAGCGACTCACTTTGCCTTTTGAGTGCAACTTGCAGGCAGCTGAGTGCTCCGGAACGGGTTGGAAATTTCTGAAACACACCAAGAGCACACACCTGTGCTTGAAACGATGGGGGTGTCTGTTCATGTGTCCATGTGTGTGTGTGTAATCTTGTGCATGTGTGCGTGTGCATGTGTTTGATATTGACAAGACAGCTAGACGAAAATTTAATTGAGTTTACGATACTTACACCCTACATAGAGCGCACACAATTCAATATTTGGCTCATTACTGAACTGTAAGGGTAGTTTGGCCTAGGGGCTGTGTTACCCACTACACATGCCTGTATTAAAAAGCCATAACATTCAAATTATTGCTTTTTACAAACACCTATTTACTTTCGGCTATCTGTGTACTTTGCCGCCAGGGTAGTTTGTTGAGGATTGATCTCGAAAAACTCATCATCAAGTGAGCATTTGAGCTAACGGTAAACACAGTCGTCGGCTGATCGCACATTTGTCTCTAGAATAAGAAACCGAATGTTCTGGATTATGAAATAGACGCAAACATAGAAGCATAAGGAGACATCCAGAACATTCGATATGCAGTAGAAGTAGGCTGTAAGTCGAGCCAAAGTTCATTCAGTAAGTTCATTGTGTAAGATCAATGTCAGTGTGTCGGCTCGGTTAGTTAAGTTCAAATCGTCGCGGTACGTGAAGAAGTGTACTTGTTACTGAATATTTTTGTTGTGTTAAATAAACTTATTGCGTTGCACCTACATATACCGTGTTTCATTTAAGAAAAACCTTCAACAGGTTATGGGCCCAGACAGTGCTAAACGTGTAATGTAGTGTGAAATCGAGTGCAAGTACAAAAGTGAATTAGTGGCAAATTTGTAACTAAATAAAGACAATGAAAATGGAGCCATTAAATATGAGAATTGAACGATTACGCGACAAAGACAATTGGCATTTGTGGTGTTTTATGATTCGTACGCTATTGGAAGAAGACGACGATGTTCTTGCCGTTTGTGAAGGTAGTTTGACGTGTCCGACACAGGAGTCTGCAACATACGAGAGAGACTCGAAAAGGTTCTTGAAAGCTGATAAGACTGCAAGGAAAATAATTATTCATTCTATCGAGAGAAGACCGATGGAATTGATTGTGAGCTGCAAAACAGCAAGAGAAATGTGGATAAAATTGAACTCAGTGTATGATATGAAATCCGAAGAAAATTTATCGGCTATTCAGAAACAGTTTTTTGATTTCAAATGGATTGAAAGTGAGAGTGTGGACTACAATATTTCAAAGTTGGAAGTTTTGTGGAGCAAGATGAAAAATCTTGGAAGTGCTGTGCCTGAAACAATGTTAATGTCGCGAATCCTGTCATCTTTGCCTCAAAAGTTTAACTATTTTCATAGTGCGTGGGATTCAGTCGAAGACAGCAAAAGAACATTGAACAATTTGACGACTCGTTTAATGACAGAAGAAATGCGGTCAAAAGAACAAGAAGTGGTACCTGAAGAGTCAACAGCGTTAGTTGCCGGCAACGGAAAAAATAAAAGAGAACATGAAAATAAGAAGAAAATTATGAAGTGCTATAACTGCGGCGTGATGGGACATCTGAAGAAGGACTGCTACAGGTGTTATATATGCAAGAAGAAAGGCCACAAGAGCAACACCTGTCACCAAAGGAGAAATGCAGGAAGTCAAGCGGAAAATAATCAAGGAGAATCGGGTGAATCATCGAGGAAAGGATTGATTGCGAGCAGGGACGGCAGAGAAGATGACGTGTGGGTGATCGACTCAGGAGCTTCTGATCACATGTCAAGGCGTCGAGATTGGTATTCTACTTATGAAGAATTTTGGAGCCCCTGAGGATAGGCGTAGGTAACGGTAAATATATCACGGCGCACGGAAAAGGTAATATTGATATTGAAACTTATGTCAATAATAATAAAAGGGCGACGACAATGTTTGATGTTTTGTATGTTCCGGAAATAGTTTACAATTTATTTTCTATTATGTCAGCTGCAAAAAGGGGTGTTGATTGTCTTATTAAAAATAAAGGAACACAGTGTTTGTTGAGACGTGATAATAAAATAATTGCAACGGGTTCTAGGTTCGGAAACTTATTAAAATTAGATGCGAATGTTTTGATGCCAAAATTGTGTAATTTAACAAGAAAAATAGAATCGAAAGAAAGTGATTCTTTACAAGTATGGCACGAGAGGTTTTGTCATCAAAACGTTCGACATGTTCGCGATTATTTGAAAAATAAGAATATTGATTTTCTAGAAAATGATTTCTTTTGTGAAGGATGTGCTTATGGGAAGCAGCATCGGCTAACATTTCACAAAAATATTGACCGTGCAACAAAGACACGAGAGATAATTCATACTGATGTTTGCGGTCCGATAGAGGTAGAGTCTATTGGTAAAAAGTTGTATTTTGTTAGCTTTAAAGATGATTATTCAAGTTATCGGGAAGTTTATTTTATACGTCATAAGTCGGAAGTATTTGAAAAACTCCAAATTTTTATTCAGGCAATTCAGAATCAATTTCATGAAAACATTAAAGAAATTCACAGCGATGGGGGTAGAGAATATATTAATAAAGAAGTTAAATCGTTCTTTAATAAGAAGGGAATAAAACATATTGTTAATGCTCCTTATACACCTGAACAGAATGGAGTTGCGGAACGTGAGAATAGAACTATTATTGAAGCTGCACGATCAATGTTGCATTCTAATTCTGAGTTACCATTATTTCTATGGGCAGAAGCAGTAAACACTGCAGTTTATGTAATTAACCGCACAGGTCCAACAAAACATGGGAATAAAACTCCATATGAGTTGTGGTTCAAGAAAGAGCCAGATATCGGAAATCTTAAAATTTTCGGGACTGAATGTTTTGTACATGTACCAAAAGAAAAAAGGAGAAAATTAGATAAAAAGTCTATTAAAGGATTTATAGTAGGATACGTTGAAAATTGCAAAGGATATCGTGTATATGTTCCAAATATGAGAGATGTAATTATAAGTAGAGATGTATGTTTTAAACCAGAAAACTTTACAACTCAGTTTAAAAAACCTGAAATTTTAGTTGACAATTCTGAAAGTGAGACTAATGAAAGTGAATACAAAAATAATAAAATTGAAGATGAATCAACTGAACATAATAATAGTGAAATGGGTCGGCGATTGCGAGATAGATCACAGATTCGTATGCCAGATTTTTATGGTTGCCCTGTTACATTTATTACACAAAGCTTGCCTTTAAATTATAATGAAGCGTTAAAGTCTGATGAAAATGTATCTGAACAAAATAATTGTAATGCACCTTACCGCGAAGCAATAGGAAATTTAATGTTTTTACAAGTTGTTTCAAGGCCAGATATAAGTTTTTCTGTTAATGTAGTTTCCCGAGAGCTAGAAAACCCGAAGCAGCATCACTGGACGTTAGTTAAGAGAATATTTCGTTATTTGAAAGGAACGATGTATTTGGGAATTTTATACAGTAAAATTAATAATATTTTTGAGACATATAGTGATGCTGATTATGCAGGTGAAATCTACATCTGGAATTTTGTGTAAATATGCGAATGCTGCAATAACGTGGCAAAGTAAAAAACAACAATGTGTAGCTTTATCAACAACAGAAGCCGAATATGTAAGTGCAGCTCTAGCAAGTAAGGAAATGATATGGCTAAAGAAATTGTTTTTTGATTGTAACATTAATTTAAGTAACTACATCTTGTTTTTAGATAATATAAGTGCGATTAAGCTAATCAAAAATCCTGAATTTCATCAACGAAGCAAACATATAGATGTTAAATATCATTTTGTACGCGATTTATTTGAGAAAGGTGAGATAGATGTAAGGTATGTAAAGAGTGAAGAGCAGATCGCTGACATTTTTACTAAAGCTTTGCCAAAGCCCAGATTTTTGTATCTAAGAGAGAAATTGGGAATGAGGAATAAGGGACAAATTTGTTATAGAGATGTTGAGTTTTAGGGAGGGTGTTGAGGATTGATCTCGAAAAACTCATCATCAAGTGAGCATTTGAGCTAACGGTAAACACAGTCGTCGGCTGATCGCACATTTGTCTCTAGAATAAGAAACCGAATGTTCTGGATTATGAAATAGACGCAAACATAGAAGCATAAGGAGACATCCAGAACATTCGATATGCAGTAGAAGTAGGCTGTAAGTCGAGCCAAAGTTCATTCAGTAAGTTCATTGTGTAAGATCAATGTCAGTGTGTCGGCTCGGTTAGTTAAGTTCAAATCGTCGCGGTACGTGAAGAAGTGTACTTGTTACTGAATATTTTTGTTGTGTTAAATAAACTTATTGCGTTGCACCTACATATACCGTGTTTCATTTAAGAAAAACCTTCAACATAGTTGAACAAGCAATTTAAACCACGGAAGAACAAGAAGTGGCATGGATGAGGCACATGAAATTAAGTCCAACAGCCCAAACGATGTGGATGGCCATGTAACTGTTCCTGTATTAAAACTATTAGCTACCAGTTGATCCCAAAGAAATTCGTAACTAAATTCAAGCAGTTAAGCTACAGATTATGGTTAACAAAGCAGAGGACAGATTTGATAGAGATATCAAACTAGACTCAAACTAAAATGGTATCTCCTTGAGGTCTATTTGAAAACTAAATATTTTTTGTAATTTTCTAATATTATTCGTTTATTTTTTGTATTTGTATAAATATTTTAATAATAAATAATAAATGATAAATAAAAAATAATACAAATCTTTGCGTATTACTTGAAAGAAAAATAAAGGTTTTTTAAAGGGATAAAATATAATGACCATTATAACATTTTGAAAACATATATCTCTATGGAATATCTCTAAAATCATTAGCATTGGAATTACAGATATTATTAATATATAATATATTTAGCCTAT